CTCTTGGAAACGCTCCTTGACGGATGGACCAGTCTAAAAATTGTCAAAATATCCATAAAAAGGTCAACGAAGTAAATTTTGTAGTTAAGAAATCTTTTTTCAACACCTAAATATGGAATATTCTTATAGAATTACCTTAAGAATTTCCAACTCTTTCTTTTCTTTTGCTTCCTTCTGTTCGGCTGTTTCAACATCACCCGTCTTCCACTTGTTTTTCAGGTCATCGACCTAAAAAACAGTTTTTGTAGACAAATTTTGAGAAACGATTTTTGGCACGAGAACTTAGGTCACTCAAAATCTTAGAAGAGCTGTTACCCAAGTTCGTAAGAACAAACATTTGCTGCAATCTCGACAGGCAAATTATAGGGTCCCGAGCGATTCTGAACCGTTCAAAACTTAATTTATGTTTAAAAAGTTCTATAAATGTGTAGAATGACTATTCCTTTTTGGTGGTAAAGCAAAACTGAAGTCAGCTAACCTTGGATGTGTCTGGTATATCAAAATGCATATTTAAAAAACCTTCGTCATAATTTTTATTGCCTTATCGGTATTCACTGAAGTTAAACTTAAAAAGCCATAGCTAATTCGAATCCAACAATTTCATTACTTTCTAATTTATATTTTTCAGCGTTCATAAATTTTCGTTGTGGTAGTACGAGTACTTTTTCCAGCTTAAGTAACCTATTACTACTTTTTTTAAGTGCTTTGCATTTTCCATTGTGCTAGATTTTTTTCTCGTTAAGATGATTATCTTTTCCACAATTCCGAGGCATAAACAGCAGTTTGCTACACAAAGAATCCCCTCCCCTCCACTCCAATCTTAAGCATTGTTAATTTCTACAATAAATATTTTTAACTGACTTGTCCCAAACCAGCCCTTTAGGTAAATTTGATCTGAAAGATTTTACCTGAGCAAAATGTAGCTCTTGCTTCTTCTTTTTCTTATCTTCCCGAATGATGTTTGGATCTCGTTCGCCCTCTTCCTCTTCTTCGCTTTCGTCTTCCAGTTCTCCCGTCAGGAATCTAGATACATTCCAATAAAAACTAGTAAGCGAAACGAAAGAGATTACTATTCGATCTGTCGCGTGCGCAAACGATTCGCTACTTTGTTT